TTACTACTAGTACTACTACTACTACTACCATTACTACTACGACTACTACTACCATTACTACTAGTACTACCATTACTACTAGTACTACCATTACTACTACTACTACTACTACTACCATTACTACTAGTACTACCATTACTACTAGTACTACCATTACTACTAGTACTACTACTACCATTACTACTACTACTACCATTACTACTAGTACTACCATTACTACTAGTACTACTACTGCCATTACTACTACTACTACCATTACTACTAGTACTACCATTACTACTAGTACTACTACTACCATTACTACTACTACCATTACTACTACTACCATTACTACTAGTACTACCATTACTACTACTACTACCATTACTACTAGTACTACCATTACTACTAGTACTACTACTACCATTACTACTACTACTACCATTACTACTAGTACTACCATTACTACTAGTACTACCATTACTACTAGTACTACTACTACCATTACTACTACTACTACCATTACTACTAGTACTACCATTACTACTAGTACTACTACTACCATTACTACTACTACTACCATTACTACTAGTACTACCATTACTACTAGTACTACTACTACCATTACTACTACTACCATTACTACTACTACCATTACTACTAGTACTACCATTACTACTACTACCATTACTACTAGTACTACCATTACTACTACTACCATTACTACTACCATTACTACTACTACTACCATTACTACTACCATTACTACTAGTACTACTACTACCATTACTACTACTACTACCATTACTACTACCATTACTACTAGTACTACTACTACTACTACCATTACTACTACTACTACCATTACTACTAGTACTACTACTACTACTACTACCATTACTACTACTACTACCATTACTACTACTACTACCATTACTACTACCATTACTACTAGTACTACTACTACCATTACTACTAGTACTACTACTACCATTACTACTACTACTACCATTACTACTACTACTACCATTATTACTACTACTACCATTACTACTAGTACTACTACTACCATTACTACTAGTACTACCATTACTACTACTACTACCATTACTACTAGTACTACTACTACCATTACTACTACTACTACTACCATTACTACTAGTACTACCATTACTACTAGTACTACTACTACCATTACTACTACTACTACCATTACTACTAGTACTACCATTACTACTAGTACTACTACTACCATTACTACTACTACCATTACTACTACTACTACCATTACTACTACTACCATTACTACTACCATTACTACTACTACTACCATTACTACTACCATTACTACTAGTACTACTACTACCATTACTACTACTACTACCATTACTACTACCATTACTACTAGTACTACTACTACTACTACCATTACTACTACTACTACCATTACTACTACCATTACTACTAGTAGTACTACTACTACTACTACTACTACTACTACTACTACCATTACTACTACTACTACCATTACTACTACCATTACTACTAGTACTACTACTACCATTACTACTAGTACTACTACTACCATTACTACTAGTACTACCATTACTACTACTACTACCATTACTACTAGTACTACTACTACCATTACTACTAGTACTACTACTACCATTACTACTACTACTACCATTACTACTACCATTACTACTAGTACTACTACTACCATTACTACTACTACTACCATTACTACTAGTACTACTACTACCATTACTACTAGTACTACTACTACCATTACTACTACCATTACTACTAGTACTACTACTACTACTACTACTACTACTACCATTACTACTACCATTACTACTACCATTACTACTACCATTACTACTAGTACTACTACTACTACTACTTCGTATGTATTTAATGTTGTGACAAAATGCACTCTGTAGAGCAGTTCGTACTGTAGGAACGTCCGTGTAAGAGGAAATGTCTCATTCTAAGGTAATAAAAATGGTTCATTATGTCAGGTCTTAATACACCACTGAAAACATAGTTATGGATATTATTATATTATATTTCTGTCAGTTGATCCTTCTAAATATTACAACTGGACATTTAATGATCGTCCATCAACGATTCAACAGGCAGCTCTTAACAGCACAAAAAAAATGTTTATATTGTTATTAGAGTGTATTTCTGTCAATAGATCCTAAATCTTACACACTGCACCTTTAAGATGACATCACCATGAAAACACTGCATCGAAACCGCGAGGTGAGCGTGTTCGACACTGACTGACGTCTGATGAGTTAGAAAGAACAACAAGAAAAAATATTTCCCCACATTATATTGAGCAGAGTCAGGTGAGACAGCGCGCCGTCTGCACATGTGCAGAACACGTACGAGCATGCAGACATCCAGCGTGGTGTGAACAAACCTGGCGTCCATGTTGGACCAGCACCCAGTCTGGAAGAAGTATCCAGCTTCACTGAAGTAAAAGTGTCACAACCGCAGTGTGAAAATACTCCAGTACAAGTACACGTCCTGCAAGTTAAGTAAAAGTACAGGTTATTATCCTCAAAGTTAGGCACTGAGTTCTTGATGTATTTAGTTTTTTTTAATCAGCCGGTCTGGATTCTGACAGAAATCAACTTCTGTAAAAGTAATTTTTAAAATGAGTTTGACGATTGACAGGTCGTCATGGTAGCGACTTGTCAATCAGCATTTAGCCCCGCCCTAAAGCCTCCCCTGCTTCTTGGTCTCTGTTCCTCTAAATGGGACCATAATTTACTAAATGAACATCATGCTGTGTTGAAGAAGACTTGAAACTAGCGACTGAGACCAGAAACTCATCAGGAAAGAGTTTACTGAGGGAATAAATCAGCTGAGAGGTAGAAACATTTTCTCAGAGACTTTTGTAGACGGGTTTCTTGTATACAAACACTACTGGATGCGCAGCCAGGAGGCGAAAATGCTTCGGTAGCTGTTCAGAAGACTGTAATCAACGTAGATTAGGCATTGTTTGTAAATTCTTGTTGACTCAGTAATAAACTGCCATTTCAGGGTTGGATCAAAACCGACGCCTTCAGAAAAAGAGACAAAGCGTAGTTATTTGTGAGACGCCCCTAGAGAAACATTCAGGTGGCAGCTTCTCGAGTTCAGCCGACAAGATACGGTCCGGCCTGCAGCACCTCAGGCCACGACTATTGGCTGTCTGCTCCGCACATGTGATTCTACCACACACGTGTGAACGTTGCACTTTAAGGCAGCCAGCAAGTTTTAATTTTAAACCTTTTAAACAGTGGTTCTCAAAGTATGGGCAAAAAGGGGAATCATTTATTTCAGCTGGCGTCTCAGCCATGAATAATGGTTGTCTGGCCGGCTGTTGGCTGTGATGCAGTTTAGTTGTAGAAGAAGTTGTTTTCATGGCGCTCAGCTGTTTCCATGTTTGGAAAACAGCTGAGCGCCATGAAAACAACTCCTACACACACTCCTACGTCTTTGTGTTAAACCTCAGACCTCCTGCTACGTCTCCGCCTCCCGTCCAGACTGAGACGTTGAAGTCTGAAAACGCCGCTGACCCCGTTTTGGTTTTAAACTCCGGGGCAGCGTGTTAGTGCTGACAGGTGAAAACATCTGTTTCCCGCCGCCACAGTCTCTTTGTCCTCCTGTGTTACATTCAGTAACAGCCAATCAGATTACATTTATTCATTAAGCGACTTACAGCTGCTGTACATGTCAGAGGTCGCACGCCTCTGGAGCAACGAGGGGTTAAGTGTCTCGCTCAGGGACACGATGGTGGATTTTGAACCCGGGTCTCTCACACCAAAGGCATGTGTCTTATCCACTGTACCACCACCCACAGTCCATGCAGAGAAATCTCTGCTTCTTCACCGTCGCTGCTCTTCGTTCGTCTCCAGTAGAACTTTCTTCAGACAGTCTGCTTCCTGTTCACACCGCACATGCTCAGTGTGCGTGTACGTGATGTGAGGTTTTGTCGTTTTAGATCTTTATTGTCATCTTTATAGTAACAAATAAAATATATAGACGCAGATCAGCCTCCTCACCTGCACACACACCTTTACTGAAGTCACATTCATTTCCTGGAGACTCTAAAATCAGTTTTACTCTCAAATGTGTCCCTGAAGGTAGCATAGACCCCCCCCCCCCCCCCCCCCCCCCACACACACACACACACACACACACACACACACACACAGCTGAGCGTTCATGCGGAGACTCTCAAGACGTCCTGGTGGTTGAAATGACCAAATGTAGGCATGAATGAAGTTTCTCGCTCCGATCTGTTTAAACATCTGATCCGTTGTCATGACGACCGCATCGGCAGCGAGATAAGCGGGGTTGATGGATGATCGTGGAGCGCTAGCTGCTAACTGAGGCTAGCAGGAAGTGAGAGGCTGCTGCTGCTTTGTGACTCTGAATCAGTCAGTGAGGTTTGGTGGAAGAGAAACCTGGAACCTGTTTATTAAGTCTTAAATTAAACCCATCAAATCCTGTAAAATATTCAGACTACGTTTATGAATCTACATCTTTGCAGGAACATCTTTGTGTTTTTTAGAAAATAAATATCATCCCACAAAGAATCACTTGAGCAAGTTGAGTTTACTTTTTGTTTTTTAGTTCCAGAAGTTTCCCTTCTGAACAACACAGACAGATTAATATCGTGGAAAATTAATAATTTAATTCAAAAAGTAAAAACTTTCATAGATTCATTACACATGAAGCGAAATATTTCAAGCCTTAAGTTTTAATCTTGATGACTCCAGCATTTTTAGAATAAATAAATGAAAACACAGAGACGTCGACCTGAGACGAGCTCTGATCAGCTGATTAACTCCTGCAAAGGTTTCCTGAACCTTTAATCTCTCAGTCCGGTTCTGTTTCCCACCATGTTCTAATGTTTTGAGATGCACCTGGAAATTTACCTGCAACAAATACTTTTCTTTCGTCACGCTGTGCTGAACTGTGCCAGTAAGGTGTGCCGTGTCCCTGTGTTGTAGATCTGTGTGTGATAGACCGGCAGCTCTGCCAGGATGAGAACTCCCTGCTGAGCTTTGAGGCGATCTGCAGCATCCACAAGCTGATGGACGACGACGCCGACGGGTCGGTGGACGTGGCGGAGACGGACGAGGTGAGACGAGAACCTGTGTGTGTTGTCCTGTGGAGCGGCGGCGCTCGAACTGTCTGATGACGGAAAGTCATGTTGCGTCCACAGTTCCTCAGGGAGGATCTGAAGGATCACGACTCCAAAGCCAAACACAGCAGCTTCCACCGAGCCGACCTGCACATCAGCGTGGAGGACATGTGGGCCGCCTGGAAGAGCTCCAGAGGTGAAGTTATCTTTCATCACGTCTGCTGCTGCTGCTGCTGCTCTGAATGATTATAACAACTGCGATGTTTGTTAGTAACGTTGAGCGCTGTGAAGGAGCCGCTTTGGGCTCTGGGTGACTGTTAACTAATCAGCAGGTTGATCCACAATGAAAAGCTGCAGTCTGAAACTGAACAGCTCAACAACTACAGCAGCTTATTCTCACATACTTTTCCTGCTTTAATACTTTAAGTCCTGATTATACTCGCATACTTTTACTGTTTGAAAGTTTTAATGGTGCCAGTTTAACAGAATATAAACAAATATAAAGCGTGAGGTGACCAGATGTTGGGAGTAAGGCGACAGTGAGGTTTTGCTTGTTGCTGTAGCGCAGTAATATAACACATTACTTATAAAATGTCAGTAATATTAAACCCTTTATAATCTCAGTAACGTGTTACAACACATTTTAACACAAGATTAAGTGGTGTTTTTTTTTAATAATTCACCAACACTGAGAAACATTCTGGCACCAGAAATAAACTCTGTAGGAGTAAAAATGTTATTTCCTGTTTCTGGAGCTTGTTAGTTGAGATTGTTTGTGCAGGAGCTGGGCTCCTCTGAGCTGTGACGTGTTGGGTGGTCTCCAAAACACTGATATCATGGTGTGACGATCCGCCATGAACATGATTTATTATTCTTTAAAAACATTCACTTCACGCCAGATTAGGGCTGCACAATTAATCGATTTATTGATTGAGATCTTAGCTTCCCACAATTAAATGAACATGATCTACGGTAATGTCTGTCATCCGTACGTCACCGAGGCTGCAGAGCGTTGTGTGGAGAGCGCCGGGCAGAGCGGGGGAGTGAAAATCTGTAGGCCGGCTGAGAGCTGCTAAACGTGGGGAGAGGAGCAGGGAGCAGCGCTGCAACCTTTGGACAAATAAACAACCGTAGTCGGTCAGATTCTGCTCTGACAACTACACTGTTTACCCGCGGGAGGAGCTCGGAGTTAACTTTTATTAAATTAGCTTTTTACTTTAGTTTTTGGGATTACAACGTTGATTTATCTTCACTGGAGCTTCTCAGCAGCTTCCGTTCACATCCGGCTCCACTGTTGTTGTTAGCGTCGTTATATAAAACCAGACAAAACTGGACGTTACTTGGAGAAAAGAAAGCGAGGAGGTTGAACTACCTGGTGAATTCAGAAAACATGTGTCTGTCAATTTATTCCAGCTGTCGTTGTACTTTACTGTGAACAGGTTAGCATAGCATAGCCCTGATCGAACCGAACTCCATTCAGAAAACAAACATTTTAGAAGTTGCTGTCTTGCTGACAGACCTGACAAAGCATCAATTCATATGTTTAACAAATCTGCATCATATTGTAGTTATTTCGGCATCAGTTTGATCCGTTTATTGCTATTTAATCACAGCAAAATGTTTACTTTGGTTCTGAGCAGGAAGTCAGACACAGAACAGCAAAGAGAATCCGGTCAATTTTCAAAATAAAACACCTTGTGCAGACTCTCGACCATAAATCAACAAAAACACAGTTAAAACAGACAAAAAGAACCATTTATCTACATAACCTACTTAATCATAGAGGAAGCACAAAAAGCAAACGCTGACTACCAAATCAACAAAGTCTAAACATGTCAGCAAAATCAGGCAACTCCAACAGCCGGCACCTCAGAGGTTCTCCTTTTCCCGAAGTGCCGACTGTTGCAGTACGTTGCGGAGATGAATGCAACGTGTCTGGTAACTTCCTGTTGCCGACCGCAGACTGCACGCGAGGCCAGGGACGGAGACACCGACGCACAAGTATAAATGCATGGCTACGTGCGTAGTTTACCGATTTCCTTTCCTGGTCAGAGAAGCTGCTGTCAGAGCATCCCGATCGATCCTGTCGGGACATTTAAATAATCAGTGAAGTTGGGGCGCCAGCTACAACCTTTCTGCAGAAGGTTAAAAGATCTGCGGAAATATCTGCGATCTGCACATCACTAGAACCCACCTATGCAGCACATCTTACTGTCTGAATAATGCTTCCATTAAATAGCAGTGACAGGAACTCAGTAGTGGAAAGTATTAAAATTCAGAGACCGAAATATTGTAATATAACTAATTACACTCGGACGACAGTTACCAGTGATCTATAATGTGGAACACGTTGGTAGTAGGTTGCCCAACACTGACTGTAGTGTAAGTTAGAGCTGAAGGAAAAAAGCTTTCACGAAGCAGAGTCTGCATGTCGAGGGAGAGAAGCTTCAACACAAACATCAGAAGTTATTCAGTAAATCACATCTGGAGGGAGATCTGAGGTTTCCTCAGAAGAGAAACACACAGAGAAGCAGCATTTATTTCCTCTGCGTTTTTATTATGAGGAAACCTCAGAAGTGATTCACTGTGAAGATCTTCTTCAGAAAATAAATAAAGTCAAATATGTAAACACGACGACATCTTCACGTCGTCATCTCGGCTCAGAGCACCAGACTTCACTTCACGAACCACGACTTTAAGGTTCATGTTGTCTTAAAGACGTCGGACTGTAAAATTTATCTGCTTTATACAGACAGGAAGCAGAGAAGGGAGGGAGGAAGGAAGGAGGGAAGTGAAAAGGGGAGATTAGAAAGAGTGGAGGGAACGAGACTCAAAGACAGTAAAGGAATATAGAACGGGCAGAGAGGAAGCACTGACGCCAAGAAGGAGAAAAGGTAAAAAACAAAGTGAAGACAGGAGAGAGGAAGCGAGGAGGGAACGAAAAGAAGAATGTTTGAGTGAAAAAATAAAATCCTATTTTTGGATCCACTTTATTTTCCAGCTCAATTTGTCACCGTGATGATGCAAAAAAAGACCGACGAAGAACAGCTGTTTATTTTAAGACTGAGGACGTAAGAGCAGAACATCACAGCTGTTCTCCTTCAGAACACAGAACATCACAGCTGTTCTCAGTCAGAACAGCAGAACCTCACAGCTGTTCTCCGTCAGAACAGCAGAACCTCACAGCTGTTCTCCTTCAGAACACAGAACCTCACAGCTGTTCTCAGTCAGAACAGCAGAACCTCACAGCTGTTCTCCTTCAGAACACAGAACATCACAGCTGTTTTCCTTCAGAACAGCAGAACCTCACAGCTGTTCTCAGTCAGAACACAGAACATCACAGCTGTTCTCAGTCAGAACAGCAGAACATCACAGCTGTTCTCCTTCAGAACACAGAACCTCACAGCTGTTCTCAGTCAGAACAGCAGAACATCACAGCTGTTCTCCTTCAGAACAGCAGAACCTCACAGCTGTTCTCCGTCAGAACATTACAGCTGTTCTCAGTCAGAACAGCAGAACCTCACAGCTGTTCTCAGTCAGAACAGCAGAACCTCACAGCTGTTCTCCGTCAGAACATCACAGCTGTTCTCCGTCAGAACAGCAGAACCTCACAGCTGTTCTCCGTCAGAACAGCAGAACCTCACAGCTGTTCTCCGTCAGAACAGCAGAACCTCACAGCTGTTCTCAGTCAGAACAGCAGAACCTCACAGCTGTTCTCAGTCAGAACAGCAGAACCTCACAGCTGTTCTCCGTCAGAACATCACAGCTGTTCTCAGTCAGAACAGCAGAACCTCACAGCTGTTCTCCGTCAGAACAGCAGAACCTCACAGCTGTTCTCAGTCAGAACAGCAGAACCTCACAGCTGTTCTCCTTCAGAACATCACAGCTGTTCTCCGTCAGAACAGCAGAACCTCACAGCTGTTCTCAGTCAGAACACAGAACATCACAGCTGTTCTCAGTCAGAACAGCAGAACCTCACAGCTGTTCTCCGTCAGAACAGCAGAACCTCAAAGCTGTTCTCCTTCAGAACAGCAGAACCTCAAAGCTGTTCTCCTTCAGAACAGCAGAACCTCACAGCTGTTTTCAGTCAGAACAGCAGAACCTCACAGCTGTTCTCCTTCAGAACCTCACAGCTGTTCTCCTTCAGAACAGCAGAACCTCACAGCTGTTCTCAGTCAGAACAGCAGAACCTCACAGCTGTTTTCAGTCAGAACAGCAGAACCTCACAGCTGTTCTCCTTCAGAACATCACGGCTGTTCTCATTCAGAACATCACAGCTGTTCTCAGTCAGAACATCACAGCTGTTCTCCTTCAGAACATCACAGCTGTTCTCAGTCAGAACATCACAGCTGTTCTCAGTCAGAACAGCAGAACCTCACAGCTGTTCTCAGTCAGAACAGCAGAACCTCACAGCTGTTTTCAGTCAGAACAGCAGAACCTCACAGCTGTTCTCAGTCAGAACATCACGGCTGTTCTCATTCAGAACATCACAGCTGTTCTCAGTCAGAACATCACAGCTGTTCTCCTTCAGAACATCACAGCTGTTCTCAGTCAGAACAGCAGAACCTCACAGCTGTTCTCCGTCAGAACAGCAGAACCTCACAGCTGTTCTCAGTCAGAACAGCAGAACCTCACAGCTGTTCTCCTTCAGAACATCACAGCTGTTCTCAGTCAGAACAGCAGAACCTCACAGCTGTTCTCAGTCAGAACAGCAGAACCTCACAGCTGTTCTCCTTCAGAACAGCAGAACCTCACAGCTGTTCTCAGTCAGAACAGCAGAACCTCACAGCTGTTTTCAGTCAGAACAGCAGAACCTCACAGCTGTTCTCCTTCAGAACATCACGGCTGTTCTCATTCAGAACATCACAGCTGTTCTCAGTCAGAACATCACAGCTGTTCTCCTTCAGAACATCACAGCTGTTCTCAGTCAGAACAGCAGAACCTCACAGCTGTTCTCAGTCAGAACAGCAGAACCTCACAGCTGTTTTCAGTCAGAACAGCAGAACCTCACAGCTGTTCTCAGTCAGAACATCACGGCTGTTCTCATTCAGAACATCACAGCTGTTCTCAGTCAGAACATCACAGCTGTTCTCAGTCAGAACATCACAGCTGTTCTCCTTCAGAACATCACAGCTGTTCTCAGTCAGAACAGCAGAACCTCACAGCTGTTTTCCTTCAGAACAGCAGAACATCACGGCTGTTCTCATTCAGAACATCACAGCTGTTCTCAGTCAGAACATCACAGCTGTTCTCCTTCAGAACACAGAACATCACAGCCGTTCTCAGTCAGAACAGCGAAATATCACAACAGAACATCAGGACATGACTGAAGCAGAGCTGATTTGTTTACTTCTGCAGTGGTTAGTTATAGGTTATTGATCGGTGACCTCTTGCAGTGTGAAACTATCTGAAGTGACTTTATTAACTGGATGCTGTTGTGCTGTGTGTTCAGTGTATACCTGGACGGTGCAGCAGGTGGAGGACTGGCTGCTCGTCAGCGTGGAGCTTCCTCAGTACGCAGAAACCTTCAGGAGACACCAGCTAGACGGAAAGGCCTTACCCAGGTAACACACACATATTTATACCCAGGTAACACACACACATTTTATACCCAGGTAACACACACACATTTTATACCCAGGTAACACACACACATTTTATACCCAGGTAACACACACACATTTTATACCCAGGTAACACACACACATTTTATACCCAGGTAACACACACATTTTATACCCAGGTAACACACACACATTTTATACCCAGGTAACACACACACATTTTATACCCAGGTAACACACACACATTTTATACCCAGGTAACACACACACATTTTATACCCAGGTAACACACACACATTTTATATCCAGGTAACACACACACATTTTATACCCAGGTAACACACACACATTTTATACCCAGGTAACACACACACACATTTTATATCCAGGTAACACACACACATTTTATATCCAGGTAACACACACATTTTATACCCAGGTAACACACACACATTTTATACCCAGGTAACACACACATTTTATATCCAGGTAACACACACACATTTTATACCCAGGTAACACACACACATTTTATACCCAGGTAACACACACACATTTTATACCCAGGTAACACACACACATTTTATATCCAGGTAACACACACACATTTTATACCCAGGTAACACACACACACATTTTATACCCAGGTAACACACACACATTTTATACCCAGGTAACACACACACATTTTATACCCAGGTAACACACACACATTTTATACCCAGGTAACACACACACATTTTATATCCAGGTAACACACACACATTTATACCCAGGTAACACACACACATTTTATACCCAGGTAACACACACACATTTTATACCCAGGTAACACACACACATTTTATACCCAGGTAACACACACACATTTTATACCCAGGTAACACACACACATTTTATACCCAGGTAACACACACACATTTTATATCCAGGTAAACACACACATTTTATACCCAGGTAACACACACACATTTTATACCCAGGTAACACACACACATTTTATACCCAGGTAACACACACATTTTATATCCAGGTAACACACACACATTTTATACCCAGGTAACACACACACATTTTATACCCAGGTAACACACACACATTTTATACCCAGGTAACACACACACATTTTATACCCAGGTAACACACACATTTTATACCCAGGTAACACACACACATTTTATACCCAGGTAACACACACACATTTTATACCCAGGTAACACACACACATTTTATACCCAGGTAACACACACACACATTTTATACCCAGGTAACACACACACATTTTATACCCAGGTAACACACACACATTTTATACCCAGGTAACACACACATTTTATACCCAGGTAACACACACACATTTTATACCCAGGTAACACACACATTTTATACCCAGGTAACACACACACATTTTATACCCAGGTAACACACACACACATTTTATACCCAGGTAACACACACATTTTATATCCAGGTAACACACACACATTTTATACCCAGGTAACACACACACATTTTATACCCAGGTAACACACACACACATTTTATACCCAGGTAACACACACACATTTTATACCCAAGTAACACACACACATTTTATACCCAGGTAACACACACATTTTATACCCAGGTAAACACACACATTTTATACCCAGGTAACACACACATTTTATACCCAGGTAACACACACATTTTATACCCAGGTAACACACACACATTTTATACCCAGGTAACACACACACATTTTATACCCAGGTAACACACACACATTTTATACCCAGGTAACACACACACATTTTATACCCAGGTAACACACACACATTTTATATCCAGGTAACACACACACATTTTATACCCAGGTAACACACACACATTTTATACCCAGGTAACACACACACATTTTATACCCAGGTAACACACACACATTTTATACCCAAGTAACACACACACATTTTATATGTACATATCATATGCAGCCTTCGTTCAGCGCTTCATCCAGCAAACCACAGACGGAACAGAAGTGGGCGTAGTCACCGTGACGTCACCTGTTGGTTTGTGGGCTACCGGTTACACTGCAAAAAGTGAGCTCTCAAAAACAAGGGAAAAATAAGCTAAATTATCTGCCAACAGAACAAGAATATTTCACTTGCTACTTAAAGACAGAAAACCGCCTGGTAAGAAGAAATATCTTGTCATACAAAAAGCAATTAAGATAATTACTCTTACTTAGATTTTAGTTTTTGCAGTGTGGAAGCGAGACCGTCTTGGTTAGCAAGGTGCATCTGTAATTCACAGCTTAAAACAAAACGTAGTTACCTAAAAAATTAACAGCCGACTCCCAATACGCTTTTTCAGCGGCGCTGGTTAAATGTACACAGAGCGGCGCCTACGAGTCGCCTCTATCCTGATTGACAGGTCACCATGGTAGAGACTTGTCAATCACAAGGTAGTTCCTGCTTGGTGCTAAACACACGTCTGCATTTATGATTTTCATTTCTGTCCCCCCCACATCCAGCGTCACAGAGTCTAAAAACAGGCTCACTGTAACTGATGTCCTGAAGTTGTTTTGAGCAAACACTAATAATAATCCTAAAACTCCACGTTAAAGCATAAAAGTACACTGATAATGTGTTTGGCGGTGTCGAGGTTTCTAGTTTTAAAGCCTCCTGTGAGTCTCCACGCTCTTATCTCAGATGTCGGAGCGTCTGTGAACGCACCAGTATGTCAGTCTCTGAGGTGTGAACTGCGTAACCACATGACCGTGACAGTGTTTGTTTCTGGGTTTCCACTTCCTGTGGAGGTTAAACTCTACAGCCCGGCTGCTGAAGCTGTTGTTTCTGTATAACTCTGCGTGAACGTCTCCCTGCAGGCTGGCGGTGAAGAACACCACCCTGACTGCGTCCGTGCTGAAGGTGTTAGACCGAAGTCATGCTCAGAAGCTGCAGCTCAAAGCCCTGGACATCGTGCTGTTCGGCCCGCCGCCAGGTGTGTGTGTGTGAATTAATACAGTATATATTAGTGTTTATATATCATACTATAAAAGTACTGTACAGGTGTAGTGTGTGTATATGTACATATGTCTGTCTGTCTATATCTGTTTGTATCTGTGTATTGTGTATTTATATTCCCTGTGTGTCTTCAGGCCAACAGTACTGGTGGAAGGATCTTGTTCTGGGTGTGTCCATCCTGATGGCGCTGGGCGGCTGTTGGTTCGCCTACGTCCAGACCAGGAAGTCCAGAGACGACCTGGGCAAGCTGATGAAGGACCTGGAGGGTCTGCAGAGGGCCGAAGAGAGCCTGATGGACCTGCAGGAGAAGTGAGTCTGACTCATCTCACTACTGTTACTACTACCACTGTACAAAACACTATGAGGAACTGCTACTAATACTGCGATATTTAGACAAGTTAAAATGATTCAGGAGGGTGTAACGCACAGGTATGTTCGCTCTTGACCAATCACGTGATCCCAGGTCTGAAAGAACAGGTCTCATTTTGCTGTGAGTTACAATAAACGGATCAAACTGATGCCGAACTAACAACAACATGATGCCGATTTGTTAAACATATGGATTCATGCTTTGTCGGGTCTGTAAGCAGGACAGCAGAACAACAACTTTTAAAATACTTGTTTTCTGAATGGAGTTTGGATCGATCAGGCCTGTGTTTGTGCTAACTTGTTCATAGTAAAGTTCAACGATAGCTAGAACAAAGTAACAGACACATATTTTCTGTACTTACTGGTAGTTTAACTTCCTCTCTTTCTTTTCTCCCAGCAGCCTCCAGTTTTGTCCGTTTTTTTATATAAATATGAAGTAGTAGTATCACAGGGCTCGAGTTGAAAATGTTCAATGCCTTTGTGTCGCCCGACAGGAAACCGCGTCTCTCTTCGTCTTTGCTTTGACTTTGCATTTAATCGCGCTGCCCCCCAAAGCTAGCTTGTCGTTTGAAAGCACAGTAATGAACTCTGCAGCCTCTAGAGGGCGCTGGCAGGAGTTCTCCCTGTTTCAGTCCTGACACTCCAGGTCAAAGGTGCATACAAGTGGTCTAAACTCGTTTCTAACTCGTGATTCACTGAATCAGGTCTCACCGTTAAAACATAGGAACCGTCTCGGCGAGTAAAGACTGTCGTCCAATCAGGAAACAACCAGCTACGTAAACAGGACGTGAACACAGAACACAGAAACTGTGTTTGAGTCGCTGAAAGATGAATATGTGTAAATGTATTAGTTTTTATATCTTTCAGCGCACACAAATCAGAGTTAGGAGAGTTCATGTATCCGAGTTGTACTGCCAGGTCCTGACTCGAACCGGCGACCTCAGGTACGTGAAGCGGAACCGGCGACCTCAGGTACGTGAAGCGGTCGCTAGTGCGTCTCTTAAGGCGTCGGGGAGTGAGGTTTTACTCTGCACAGCCTCGCTGGCTACCGTTACATTAATACAGTTTAGAATGAGAGGAAAGTATGTGGTTGTGCTAAGCTAACTGGCGCCAGCTTTATTTGCCAAGCGCGTGAACACATGTCGGGAGGGTGACTCCGGCTGTTCTCAGTGTTTCATTTACGGGAAGACAGAAACAGACGTGCAGCTAAAACAACAAGCTGAACAAAGATCAACACAACGTTTATACATTCAAGCAGTTGGACATACAGTCTCTCACAAAGTGAGTTCACCCCTCACATGTTTGTAAATATCTGATTATATCTTTTCATGTGACCACACTGAAGAAATGACACTCTGCTCCAGTGTAAAGTTGTGAGCGTGCAGCTTGTAGAACAGTGTAAATTTGCTGTCCCCTCAAAATAACACATCACACAGCCGTTAATGTCTAACGTGTACATTAATTGATAAATTTAAGAGCATCATAAAGAATGTGGTGAAGCAGACGTGGTTGTTTTTCTTGAGAGGCCAGTGTGTTTGAATAGATGTGTTTTTGTGTTGTTTTTGTTTGTTTTTGTGAATTTTGTCATGATTGTGTGTAGCTTTTTAATATGGTGTGTTTATGGATGGCTGCTACCTTGGCCAGTTCTTTATTTTTGATCTCTTTATTTTACTTCCTGGTAAAATAAAGGTAAAATACATTTTTAAAAAAGTTTCAGGTCAGAGAGTCGACCGCGCTCCACATTACCTCAGCTCAGATATTAGCATGCTAACGTTAGCTTTGTCAGTTAGCTAACAACAGCTCCACCTGCAGGTAGTGACTGTGAATAACCTGTACGTGAGGACTAGTGATGATCAGCGGTGGACGTACAGATACCCTTCCTCAGTATTACTCCACTAAAAGAAGAAGTCTTCAATTTAAATTTCTGCTTGAATCAAAGTGGAAAAATACCTGCTTTAAAAAATACTTAAGTGTGAAAAGTAAAAAGTAGAATAGTTCTGTGTGTCTGTTACTTCAGTAAAAGTACTAATACCACACTTTAAAAAATACTTTGTACAAGTAAAAGTCCTGCTGTGTAAATGTTACTACAGTAAAAGTACTCAAAGTCCTGTCACTGTTGTACTATTAAATATCAGATTCTTCCTCCTCCTCATTAAAGTAAAGCAGGATGTTGCTGCTGCAGCTCATTCTGAACTGTTCAGTTTCAGACTGCAGCTGATGGTTCTTTTCATTCTGGATCAACCTGCTGATTATTTCCTCCATCGATCCACTGATTGTTTTGGTTGGTAAAGATTCTGTCGTCACAGTTACCCAGAGCCTTCACACCGCTCGCTCTGACTAACAGTCCAAAGATCAACGTTATTACAAATAAATTAAATTAATCCAAAGGAAAAGCAGCAAATCTTCACATGAAATGTTTTTAAATGTTTTAAAGCATCAAAGTTGTTTCCAGTTAATTTCCCTGTCAGCCTAATAATCCTGTCAGCTGTACTTGTATAAACTGTTGGAGTTTAATTTATAACAAAACATCACATTTTATAAAAATCTGACTTTGTAAAGTAACTGAAGCTGTCAGATAAATGTAGTGAAATAAAAATACAAAATCTCCCTCTGAGCTGGAGTAGAGGGAGACAGCGTGAAAAGAAAATACTCCAGTAAAGTACAAATATCTCTAATTAGTACTTAATTATTGTGTACCGATGACGTCTGAACAGCTGCTGCAACGACAAATTAAAACCAGACTCAGTGTGTAGATTTTATAATTTTATAATTACATGTAATTAACGTCAAACTGCGCCTGAGCTGCAGGAAATCGTGTGTGTGTGTGTGTGTGTGTGTGTGTGTGTGTGTGTCGGTCTCTGCAGAAGCTTTGTGTCTGAAGTCCTTATATGGTCAGAGAATAACCAGCAGCTCAGTCTGCACACGCACACACCTGCATGTACAAACACACACAGTGACGTGTTTTTCTTCTCCTACTCGCTTCTCTTTCCTCCAGCAACCACAGCTGAATGTACTAGTAGTACTGTTGTTATGTGGTTACTACTACATGTACAGAAGTGTCGGTACAGTTACTGATAGAGAAAATCCATCAGCGTGACGACACATTCAAGTGTTCAGATCTTCTGCAGGGAGGCAGTCGGTCCAGGTTAGCGGGTGACACAGAGTGCATTTTCACTCCCGTCCCGTTTATTTATACAAAAATTGGAATAGTGAGATTGACTTCCATCACGTGGGAATCCCATGACACCTGAGATCTGTGTTTTTACAGGTGAGGCAGCTTCTGCAGGAGCCCTCTTCATATAAAGACGACAGAAAGTAGCTGCTGAGGAGCAGCCGTCTGTGTCATGTAGGTCCACGGGGATGAGGACTAGGGGTGTGAATCAATACGGGTCTCACGATTCGATATCATGACGCGTCACCTGTAGGGATGGGAATCTCTGAGCACCTCACAATTCGATTACGATTATGAGGGTTACGAAGCGATTGTTTAAAATGATAAGGATAAGGATTACTTTGAAAAAGAAAGTATCTGTAAAAATCCAACCATGCAGCTATTTAACTTTACTTCCTATAAATGTGGCTAACGTTACACAGCATTATTAGTATTACAATGTTATAAGAGCATTATACTACATACCGCTACTAATAACGATATAATAACGCTTTATTATATCGTTATTAGTTATTACAGCGTTATTACAGTGTAATTAGTTATTACAGTGTAATTACACTGTAATTAGTGTTATTATATCGTTATTAGTTATTACAGTGTTATTATATCGTTATTAGTTATTACAGTGTAATTACAGTGTTATTAGTGTTATTATATCGTTATTAGTTATTACAGCGTTATTACAGTGTTATTATATCGTTATTAGTTATTACTGCGTTATTATTGCGTTATTACAGTGTTATTATATCGTTATTAGTTATTACAGCGTTATTACAGCGTTATTACAGCGTTATTAGTTATTACAGCGTTATTACTGCGTTATTTCTGCGTTATTGCAGCGTTATTACAGTGTTATTATATCGTTATTAGTTATTACAGCGTTATTACTGCGTTATTACTGCGTTATTATATCGTATTATTACTGCGTTATTACTGCGTTATTAGTTATTACTGCGTTATTACTGCGTTATTACTGCGTTATTAGTTATTACTGCGTTATTACTGCGTTATTACTGCGTTATTACTGCGTTATTACTGCATTATTACAGCGTTATTACAACGTTATTACAGCGTTATTAGTTATTACTGCGTTATTACAGCGTTATTAGTTATTACAGCGTTATTACAGCGTTATTACTGCGTTATTACTGCGTTATTACTGCGTTATTACAGTGTTATTATATCGTTATTAGTTATTACAGCGTTATTACTGCGTTATTACTGCGTTATTACTGCGTTATTAGTTATTACTGCGTTATTACTGCGTTATTACTGCGTTATTAGTTATTACAGCGTTATTACTGCGTTATTACTGCGTTATTACTGCGTTATTACAGCGTTATTACAGCGTTATTACTGCGTTATTAGTTATTACTGCGTTATTACTGCGTTATTAGTTATTACTGCGTTATTACTGCGTTATTACTGCGTTATTACTGCGTTATTACTGCGTTATTAGTTATTACTGCGTTATTACTGCGTTATTACAGTGTTATTATATCGTTATTAGTTATTACAGCGTTATTACTGCGTTATTACAGCGTTATTAGTTATTACTGCGTTATTACTGCGTTATTACAGTGTTATTACAGTGTTATTAGTTATTACAGCGTTATTACTGCGTTATTACAGCGTTATTACAGTGTTATTATATCGTTATTATATCGTTATTAGTTATTACTGCGTTATTACTGCGTTATTACTGCGTTATTACGCTGTAATAACTAATAACGCAGTAATAACGCAGTAATAACGCAGTAATAACGCA